TGTCCACAACTAGAGAGACACTGACACAAAGAGTATGGAGGAATCAAGCATCCCTGGAGGCCAAATACTTAGAGGGGAGCTGGCCTGGAAGAGTGCCAGAGCTCCAGAGTACAGATGGTCCATAAAACACTGGTCCAGCACCGGTGGTACCCAGGCTTTGGGCATCCTGTCATTGATCCTGGCATTGAAACTCTAGATAGGGAGACAGCGACTGCTCTCCCATCCCTTAACTGCCCAGCCCCAATCTTTCCTTGAATGGCTTTTCACTGGGGCCCCTCCAGGCCTAGGCCCTTCGAGTTACCTAAGACGGGGTTTCTGATTTCCTCATAGTCCCTCCACCCTCAGCTCTGCCATTATCTTTCCAGAATCTTCTACAGCATGTAACCTAGCCACCAGCCTCAATCACCCCACAGGGTAAGTCTCAGGTTAAGGGGTGATGGAGGAAGGAAAAGACCTGGAGAGGGGACGAGGTCATCAGATTCCCATTCCTACACTTTACTGAGCCTGGCACCCTGTACCTAAGGGTGCAGCACTCAGGAGAGAGCTGGTACAGGTTCCACTTCAGCATCGGAGAGGAGACAATGATGGCTGTCTTAGGTTGTCTTTCCCTGTGAAAAGACACTGTGACACAGGAACTTGTATAAGGGGAAACATTTAACTGGGGCTGGTTTACAGTTTCAGAGGTTCAGTCCAGTCATCATGGTGGGAAGCATGGTGGCATGCAGGCAGACATGATGCTGGAGAAGAAACTGGTAGTTCTACAGAAAGATCCTCAGGCAGCAGGAGACTGTGTGCCATATTGGGTGTAGCTTGAACATATATGAGACCTTAAAGCCCGCCCCCACAGTGACAGTTTCCTCCAACAAGGCCGCACCTCCTAATGGCCAAACATTCAAACGTGAGTCTATAGGGGCCATTCCTATTCAAGCCACCACAATGGCCTTGTTTAGAATAAGCAGACTAAAATCAAGTTGGCCAAGTGAAGGGTCAGCTGGCATTCTCAGTCAGGAACAAGGTCTCCTGAGGCTGTGAACCCAAGTCCACACACTTGGAGACAGGTCGAGAACAGCCTCTCCTAGGTAGACTGGAGCCCTCCTCCAAGGGCTCTTCCTCTCCCCTTTTGGAGTTGACTCCCAAGACTGGCAAGTTCTCTTGTACCTCTTTGCCCCAGGGAGTTTGCTGCCAACTTGGGGCACCCAGCATTGCATCTATGTGTTCATCTTGGGACTTGTTTTTCCTCCCTTTTGCCCTCTGGGTATCGCACGAACAGCTTCTCCATCACCCCTGCCCCACTCCCCCCAATCCTAAGTAGATTCATTCCAGTGTCACACCCCAGCCCTGTGACCCTCCCCTCTTTCATCCCATGTGGGTGGTCCAACTCCAGGGGGGACTAGACTGTTGCCCCAACAACTGGCTATTACATAATTCCTCCATTGTGTTTTCTTTTGGAATAATCTTAATAGCCTTTAGGATGTGTCCCCCTTCTTGCCACAGAGCAAGAAACCTCCCACTTATGCTTCTGTAAAAATGGACTAAAAGAGAGGCTGGGATGCAGAGTGCTTGCCTAGTGTACGGGAAGCGTGGCCTTGGGCAGGGCTAGAGAAACAGGAGAGAATAGTGAAGGCACTGGGAGATGGCAGGAGATGTTGGGGTAGGTGGACAGGGGGAAAACCTGCTATTATATAGAAACAACTGGTATCTGAGAGGAGCGGGGCTGGGGAGTGAGAAGGGCCAGAAATGTACACCATGTACTTGTGAGTAGGGACGGAGGTAGCCTGGACACAGGCATGGGCTCCCATATGCAACTACATAGGTGTATGCCAATGGAAAGCTACCTCCTTTCGGCCAGAGACAAGAGAATGACTTCTTTTAGGGATGAAAACACATTTACTAAGTTCCTGAGGGATGCAGAGTTTTATCTAACCACCAGAAATCCTTCTACAGTCCAGTTTGAGCTTATTTCTAGACATAGGAACTACCTGAGACCTAACAGTACAAATCAAACTCCAAGCTTTGGAGGAACCCAAAGGGACAACCTAACAGACAGTGAATAAAAAAGGGAAATTAAAAGGGAAGGAAAGGACATGACTGCTCCTAGTGTGGTGGAGCAGGAAGTTTATTGTAGATAAAAGGGAGAGCGTAGGTAGGAGCAGGGGCATCTGAGAGAGTTCAGAGAGGACATGATCAGACCGAGCTGGGTCATGTGGGGGAGAGAGGAGAGAGGGAACCAGGAGCAGCAGCCAGGAGGTACAAAACAGTGGGTAACCAAAATGTCTGCATTATATAAGGAAAAGCCTCTGGGGGGAGGGCAGCCCAGCCCCTGGGCTGGAGAGTTCAGGGTAGGGGGCAGGGGGTGCCAGCCATGGTCTATAATTGGGAGGGACTGAGGGATGCTGGGAGGACCTGGCAGCCAGGTTGGCTCTGACATGTTAAATAGGCAGCAGGGGTCCTAGGTCACTTGCTCTTCTCATAGAATCTACCTCTTGACTTAGGTCTTTTCCGTGTTGCCCCACTTACCCATTTGAGGCCTCTTTCCCACTGACTTCACCCCTAGTACTACTCCCCCAAAGGCCAGTAAATAATTAGCACACCTGCGGGGAATCCCCTAGGGAGGGGCAGCTCAGGGCCTCCCACTCCTGACCCATTTCAAAGATGAGGTCAGTCACCTGCCTTGGCAAAGACGATCAAAAGAACTCTCTCTTGATTCAGGTGCCAAGCTTCCCCCTTTCCCTCCATTGTGTGCTTCAGAGGTGAGGAGGGGCAGGTGGACTCATGAAAAAGGCATCAGATGTTGTAGGGTCTTCAGAGACCCACCCCCAAGACCCTTCTCCATCCCTTCTGCTGGCTGGCAGAATGGGTGGGTGGCAGCAGCTGGGGGATCCCCTGTTATGACCAGGATCATGGGACTCTGACTCACTGCCGCCCAGGCCACCTGACCACAGCAAGCAGAGAGGGCCCTGCCAGGGGGTTCCCCAGCCTGGGGACCCGGGAGAGAGTCTGAGCTGCCCCAGGCAGCAAGGCATGCTGGCCTGGCATGGAACCCACAGCCAGAACTCTCTAGGCCAACTTCCCCAGGGCCCCATTTCCTGATACTTCTTTCTCCCACTGGTGGCAAAGCAAGGGAGTTCCCGGTGGCTCCCCAGGCTCAGATGTCCCATAGGAAGCTTGGCCCACTTGAAGCTATGGTGCTCTCAGACCACAAGGCTGCTGAGTCATGCTTGGCCAGTACCTACCATCAGGATACAGCCCTGCCCAGCTACAGGCTCCTGTCTGTCCTCTCCATCTATATGTATGAACATAGGGTCCTGTGGGTTAAGGGCCTTTTCCAGGGTGGGGGGTGGGCTACCAGCTTGATGGAGAGGGAAGCCTAATAGGACTGTCCTCCACAAGATAGGGCACAGGTGTGAACCTCCTAGCTGCAGGGAAAAAGCAGTTATACCTGTGTGCTGAGCCTTCCTAGCACTTGAGGCTTTCCTGCTCCCACAAACCCAACTCCTACCTAGAGAGGCCCAGGGAGAAGATGGGAATCAGGACATAGGCCCTGACCCTGGAGAGATGGTTTGAGCTCCAATTCTGCCCAGCTTGACCTTCTACCGTGAGTTTGACTTAGAAGGTCTGTGTCCTGTTGGCAGGGCCACACCTGGGAAGCCTTTCAGGGTGACACTCCTCTGTGGCCTGAACCCTTCCCCACAGCTGGGTTCCTGCTAAGACCTCGATTTATTTTTATTCATTTAATTTGTTTTTGAGAGTAAACTGGCTGTGCAAACCTGGACTAGCATTGAGTTAGTCCTCCTGACTCAGCTTCCCAAGTGCTGGGGTTACAGATGTGTGTCATCATGCCCAACTAACAGGTCACTCCTGCCACTCAAAGCACCATCTCCTGGTTTTGGCTTTTGTACTGAAGGGGGAATCTAAGATAGAACACACACTATGCACTGAGCTATATCCTTACGCACTAGCACTACATCCTTCTGAGGTGTATCCCCACCAAGCTAAATCCCCACGAACTACATCTCTACCAAACTCTATATATACCCAGCCTTTGTATTTATTTATTTATGAAAGGAGACCTCATATAGCCAAGGCTGGCTTTGAACTCCTGAACCTCTTGCCTCTACCTCCCAAGTGCTAGGATCACTTTCTGTTTGGAGACAGTTTCACCGATTTGCTCAGGCAGACCTTAAACTTGGTAGGTATCCTCCTGCCTCAGCACCTCATACAGCTGGGAGTACAGGGCTGGCTAAGGCTCATATTTTGGTCTCTAGCTGGAGTGCAGGTGGTCTGAAGCCTTTGGCTGTCTATGAGATCAATAAGGCCTGAGATATGCCCCCTCATTAGAGCCCCAATGTGTGTGTCTGTGTGTGTGTGTGTGTGTATCACACGTGGTGACCACTGAAGCTTCAGGAGTACTGCCTATCCCTCCTACAGAGTGGGTTTCTGGGAAGTTGCTCCAGTGTTTGTCCAATGCCTCCCAACCTGATCCTTGTTAAACTGGGTCAGGCCTAAGATGGGGGTAGATGTGCTTTTATCCAGGTAGGGGCTGGTCATGGTGGATGTAGGAGGGGGTGCCGGGGCGCTACCACCTGGGACGCTAAGCTTGAGAGGGTCGGAACAGCATCCTTTGAACCAGATTGTTCAGCCTCCTGACAGTAAGCATCTGGGTCCTCCTCGGTTTTTGTGCTGGGCATCCCCCTTCAGCTTGGGGACTACATTGCTGAGTCATGGGCAGGCCCAAGCCTGGGACGCGCCTAGGCTAGGACCCTTACCAGACTTTTCCTCAACAAGTGGAGGCTGAGGCTGGTCTCTTGGGGTCACCCTTGTCTTGGAAGGGAGAAAAAGAAGTTGGCAGTAAGGGCGCCCCTCCTATACCTGTTAGGGACCCTGTCAAGGGGGCTCGCGTGCCGCAGTCTAACCAGCCGGGAGGGGCGGGGCGCAGAGAGGCCCCGCCCCTCCGAGGCGGAGCTCCGTTTCCTTTATAAAAACTGGGCTCCGGTCAGCAGCAGCTGCCCAGCTGTTTCGTCCGTACCTCAACTGCTGCAATGGCGTCGCTCACCGTGAAGGCCTATCTTCTGGGCAAGGAGGAGGCGGCCCGCGAGATCCGCCGCTTCAGCTTCTGCTTTAGTCCGGAGCCCGAGGCGGAAGCCGAGGCCGCGGCGGGCCCAGGGCCCTGCGAGAGGCTGCTGAGCCGGGTGGCCTCGCTGTTCCCCGCGCTGCGGCCTGGCGGCTTCCAGGCTCACTACCGCGGTGAGGGGCCAGGGCCGCCGGGGGGGAGGGAAGCCAACGTCCCCCGCCACGGCGTGGCAGGTCTGGGCGAGGACGTGGCGGGCCGTGCTCTGCCTCCTCGCGGGGACTGGGCGTTCAGGCGGCCGCTCAGGTGATAGCTGACATCCCGCCGCTCGCTTGTTTTCTGTAACGCCGGGTGGAGGGTTCAATTAAAGCCCCGGAAGAGCGGGGACGGACCGAGGTGGAGGAGGGGTGGAGAGGAGTGACGCGGGTAAACAAGCGGCGGGGGCGGGGTGGAGCGGCCTGTGGGAGGGGAGGTCGGGGACCCGGGAACTAGCTCCGTCTCTCACGTCGGAGTGGCAGGAGGCTGCCTGGGGTGGGGCTAGAAATTGTTGACCAGAGAGACGTAGCCAAGGCCCTCCCTGTGGGAGGGGAAAATATTAAGATCTTGTGGAGAACTGTTAGTTGATCAGTCTTTTTTTTTTTTTTTTTTTTGAGGTAAAGCCACGTAGCCTGATTGGCCTTGAACTCCCAAGTGGTTTAGGATGGCCTCACTCAACGTTAATCCTCTTGTCTGTTTCCCAGTACAGGAATCACAGGTGTTCATCACCACTCCTGGCCAGAAAATTTTCCGTGTCACTGAGTTACGTAATTCGCCCAGTAAAAGTGTATAGAGGCTGGGCGCTGGAGGCGCAGGCCTTTAGCCCCAAAACTATGGAGGCAGAGGCAGGTGGATCTCAGAGTTTGAAGCCAGCCTAGTCTACAGAGTGAGTTCCAGGACAGCCTCCAAAGCTACAGAGAAACCCTGTCTTGAAAAACAAAAGGTTACTCTTGTATTTGCAGAGACAGGTCTCACTGTGTGGCCTGGCTGGCCTGTATCCCTAAATTGTCCTTCACAGTCCTCTGCGTTATATTTGGCTAGGGACCAGTCCTGGGCCTCATGTCTGCCAGGCTAACATTCTACCAGATCATGGCTTTTTTAAAAAACTGAATTGTGTAACCACTATCATGTTCAATTTAGAATCTCTTGTTTTATAAATTTTTGTCTTTATTTATTTTGATTTTTCAAGACAGGATTTCTTGTATAGCCCTGATAGTCCTGGAACTAGCTCTGTAGACCAGGCTGGCTTTGAACTCAGAGATCTGCCTGCCTCTGCCTCCTGAGTGCTAGGACTAAAGGTGTGTGCCACCACTGCCTGGTGTATAATGGAGTCTTACAATGTAGTTTTGTTCATTCACTTACTAAAATATCAGAGGCCCATTTGTACACTCATGCTAGACAGCTCACAACTACTTGTAATTGCAGCTCTTAGAAATCAACACCCTGTTTCAGCAGGAGCCCCCCCAACACACACACACACACACACACACACACACACACACACACACACACACACGTGCTCTGCCTTCTGTGTGCAGCTGTAATCCAGGACCTAGGTTGGAGCATGTATTCATCCAGTTTGTGTCAGAGTGAATGGCCATATTGCCCCATTATTCAGGCTGAGTCTAGAGCCTTTGAAAATGTTCCTTTAGCAGTGGGCTCTGTACATCGCAGCAGTGTGTATCCAGCATAAGAGGCGTGGCTGCCTCTGTTGCTGTTATTTCCCTTCTAGTGCAGGAAATGGACTCTAAGACTTGCATGCTAGTGTTTCACCTCTGGGCTGTGTCCCTGGCTGGCTCTGATGTATTATCTCTTAAACAATGCAGATGAGGATGGGGACTTGGTTGCCTTTTCCAGTGATGAGGAGCTGACAATGGCCATGTCCTATGTGAAAGATGACATCTTCCGCATCTACATTAAAGGTAAGGGGCTACCCTAGGGCACTGCCTGAATCCAGGTGCATGCTATAGATCTGAGTTGTCTAGGACAAGGATGAGCTCTGTGGCCTGGGAGTTTTGGGCTCCTGCTGTGTGTGCCATGTGTGTTTAACAAGTGCAGGGCCTGAGACCTCCTGGCCTCATAAAAGGTTATCCTAAGCCACTGAATTCTGCATGGACTCTGACCAGCAGGGCTGCAGTGAGAAGAAAGAGAGAACTTTAGGGGCCTTGCTCTAACAGCTCCCAACTCTCCCTGCAGAGAAGAAGGAGTGCCGGCGGGACCATCGCCCACCGTGTGGTCAGGAGGCATCCCGAAGCATGGTGCATCCCAATGTGATTTGTGATGGTTGCAATGGGCCTGTGGTGGGAACCCGCTACAAGTGCAGTGTGTGCCCAGACTACGACCTGTGCAGCACCTGCGAGGGGAAGGGCCTACACAGGGAGCACAGCAAGCTCATCTTTCCCAACCCTTTTGGCCACCTCTCTGATGTGAGCTGGTTCAGCCTTGGGAGCTGCAGGGTGGTGGGACCTAGAAACCCTTACCCTCATTGCCCTATCTTGTTTTCTTCTACCCAGGGCTTCTCTCATGGCCGCTGGCTTCGGAAGCTGAAACATGGACATTTTGGATGGCCTGGCTGGGAGATGGGTCCACCGGGGAACTGGAGCCCACGTCCTCCTCGAGCAGGGGATGCTCGCCCTCACCCCGCAGCTGAATCAGGTAAGGCTGGTACTTGAACTGGCTTTTGGGTGTCATAAGCAGCCAGCCAATTCAGCCAATTTAGGCCGTCCCCATAGCCTAAAGCCCAGCACTGTCCACAGTAAGCTATGCACCACTCATCCTTTTCTTTTTTGTTGTTTTTTGGGATATGGGGGATCTTGCACATAATACATACAAGTTCCATCATTCTGCTACATTCTGTCCTTAACCATGTCATCAGAGCCTCTTTAGAACCCTGCAGAAACAATGCATTTCCATTTTACAAGTGAGTAAACAGGTATCTGAGTGCCTAAAGTCACTAATTCCCCACAGGGCCCACCCTACCCTGCTAGGCTGCCCTTCTGAGGTATGAGTATGTAGCTGAGTTTCTATAATGTATATGCCTTAGGTTTGGGACTATCAGGGCCAAAGTTGCTCAAATCTTTTAAAGACAAAAACAAAAAACTCCATTGTCACAAAACCATTTGTGGTGGTAAATATACTGTAATCTCAGGACTCAGGAGGTAGAGGCAGAAGGATCAGGAATTCAAGGCCAACCTTGGCATGAGACCCTGTCTCTAAAACCTGAAAGAACTCACACAAAGCTCTACAGTCTAGATTTTGGGATTCTGCTTCTTGATTTTTTTTTTCCCCCCTTGAGACAGGTCTCTTTATAGCTCTGGCTAGCTTGGAACTCACTATGTAGCCCAAGATGGCCTCAAACTTGAGATTCTCCTGCTTTAGCCTCTTGACTGCTGGATTGTAGACATGTGCCAGAACAGCCAGCTGGGATATTTGTTTGATTTTGAGTAAACAGCAAATCTAGGACAAGGTCAATATTTATATGTTAGCTGTACTGAGCCTCTGGTACAGAGGCTGAAGAGGCTCAACATGTGATCCACTGGGGAACTAAGGGTGCATTGTGGGAGGGAACAGACGCACCAAGTGTGGTCAAGGGGTCCCAGGACAGTGATTATCTAGGTGATGGGGACCTTGGCACAAAAGTTCTGTGATAGATGGCAGAGTCACAGAAAGGTCATCTTTCCTTTTTAAAACTCAACAGCTTCTGGTCCATCAGAGGATCCCAGTGTCAATTTCCTGAAGAGTGTGGGGGAGAGTGTGGCAGCCGCCCTCAGCCCTCTAGGTGAGTGAACTTCCTGGTCATCCTGCAAGACACCCCAGTGGCTTGGTGACTCAGTGCACAAATGACCTTTGGCAGCCTTTTCTGGCATGCTGCGGAGACCAGGGCAGATATGTGCGCTTGACACCACCAAAGCTTTGTTGGTGTAAAATTAACCTTTGCTGAGGACTGGAATGGGTGCCTCAAAGTTGAATTCCTTACTGATTCTTGAGCTTTCCACATAAGTAGAATGAGCCAGTCGGGAGGGTGCTATATGGGTGGATGGGCTAGCCTTTGAGGTAACAAGCAGCTTGCGTTTTCTGAGCTGAGTGACTTTTAGACTTGAAAGCAGGCAGTTGATTTTTTTTCCTTTCCCTTCTTTTCTTCCTTCCTTCCTTCCTTTCTTTCTTTAAGTAAGCAAGGTTTCATGTTAGCCCAGGTTGGCTTTACTTTACATAACCCAGGCTGGCCTTGAACCTGTGAATTCTTCCTGCCTTGGCCTGCCAAGTGCTAGGATTTCTTTTCCTTCTCAAAACCCCAAATGTTTGTGAGAGCAGGGAGAAGGTGCTAGAGGCAAGTGCTCTGGGTCATGCCTGGCTCTGCAGAGGGCAGAAGAAATCTGCTGGGGTGGGGGAGCACAGTGTCACCTCTCTCAATACTGTGACTCTACCTACTGTCTTTGGGGCACTCTGGTGTGGTTTAGGAAGTGCTTGCCCACATCCTGTTCCTGTGTCTGTAGTATTGGAGGTGACTGCAGGAGCCTGTGCAAAGGCCATGTCCAGTACTGAAGGAATGCTGAGGGGGTGTCCCAACCGCACCAGTCTCTCCTTAAAGCTACTAGGTGTCACTACCACTTGCTGCAAGCCAAGGCCATCTGTGCTCATGCTGCCCCAGGATGCAGCTATGAGGCAACAGTTCTGGCCTTGAGGTTAAGTTGAACAGCTTAGGTTGAGATGTGGTGTAGCTCTGTGGTAGAGTGTTAAGACTGCAATTCTTTGCACTAAAATCAAGTACAGACAAAGCAGTTTAGTCAGACCACATGGCTTTGGCATTGCAGTAAGAGGATTTTGAGAGTGTTGCTTTCCAAGGAGGTTGAAGCGGTACAGCAGCAATCGGTTTGTAGCCAGGAGGAAAAGGACTCACTGTAGGATACAGTGGGATTTGGGAAGATTGTAGTTCAGTTGTGAAAGATTATCTTCGTCTAGCAGGTGAGCTTTTAGGGGCTGCTGGCAGCTTCACTGGAAGACATGTCAGTGTATGGTGTGGTGGTGACAAGGGACCCTAGCAACAGTTACTTTGGAGTGTTTGTTAAATTAATGTGTATGTGTACACTCACGCAGGCATTTGCATTCTTAGTGCCCAAGGTAGCCAGAAGAGAGTCTTGAGACTCTCTGGAGCTGGAGTTATAGGCAGTAGTGAGCTGCCTGAAGCTGTACAGGACAGCCAAATTTCTAGAAAAAAAAAAAAGACTGGGTAGTTTGAACTGAGGATTGATTGGCTTCAGCTTTTGTGGAAGTCATGGGAGTTTTCCTTTCCTTTTTCTCTGAGGAACTAAGCAGGGGATGACTCACATGCTAACTGCCTCTAATAGGTTGTGTGAAAGTTAGAGGCCCAGAGGGAAAGAAGTTGGCAAAGCCTGTCAGAGGCAGAGGTTTGGGGGGCCAAAGCCTTTTATTGGTAGGTTCTGTGAGAACCAGCCAAAAAAGGCTGCTATGTTGGCCCAGTGCTGTGTTTGGCTCAGAGGATGTGGTTACTGACACCTATAATACAAGGTAGTAAGTAGGTCTTTCCTTGTTACTGGGTCTTTGACAGGCTTTGGGGACAGCAGGCCACAAACTATCAAACATTCTTTCTGAGTGAGCCCTTCAGTCTTGGGGTTCATTATTCCATTGAGAAAACCCCAATTCAACAGCTCTCTGATCTTGCCTGCACCTGCTTAGAAAAATCATGGGGTATGGATGTTGGGAATGGGGCTCAAGGTTTGCTTGAACTTTCTCTGTGTGTGGTTCTGGACATTGAACCAGAACTGTGTTCATGGTAGGCATTTACTCTACCCAGATGGTAGGGGAGAACTGACTCCTGAAGGTTTTCCTCTGACCTCCACACACATATAAATGTAAAAAATAAAAAGATGAAATGGAGGGCAGGGAGTAACCCACGGAGAGAGGCGGCTGTACAGAGAATCCTTGTAAGAAGACCCTGCTGGGCATGATGGCACATGCCTTTAGTACCAACACTAGGAAAACAGGTAGGCAGAGCTCTGAGTTTGAGGGCAGCCTATATTACATTGCAAATTCCAGGCTATCCAGAGCTACATAGTGTCAAAAAAACAACCCCCACAGGACCCTTTATCCTAGTATCATGAAGGATGAGAGGGAGTGACAGGCCAAGTCACCAAACAGCAGCTAGAAGACCTTTCATAAGAGTGTTAGAGAGCCCCAGGGCCCCACACAGCCAGGTGATGGCCAATACCAGTACTTTCGTGTTATGTACTTGAAGTGCTTCACTCTGAGAAGCTTCTGCCATGGAAGCTAAGACTCCAGCCTGGAAGTGAGGGCATCAGGGACCTAGCATTCAGCCTGACAACAGCTCAAGAGTCCTGTTGAGGGGAGGCTAGCCAAACACCTGACAAAGAACACCAGCTCCTAGAACCTGGATTTCCCTGATGCCTCCCTCTGGACACCTGTATATGTGAAGCTGACAACCACCCTGGTAGGCAGAAGTTCCTGCAGGCGGAACTTCTTACTAGTGCCTCTGGGATCAGAAGCCATGATGGCTGGCCATTGAGGAAAGCCTCTGCATGTGGAAAAGTGTGCAAGGAGGGAGGACAGAAAAGTACTGGGTTTATGAAAAAGCAGGTGCCATACAAAATGTAACAAAGGGCCAGGTGTTGGTGGCACACGCCTTTAATCCCAGCACTCAGGAGGCAGAGACAGGTGTATCTCTGTGAGTTTGAGGCCAGCCTGGTCTACAGAGCTAGTTCCAGGACAGGTTCCAAAGCTTCACAGAGAAACCCTGTCTTAGTAACAAAGGAAACAATAAAAAAGTGCTTAACACTGAGTAAGGGGGCTGGAGGTGGCTTAGTAGTTAACAGCACTGTTGCTTCTGCAGAGGTCAGGTTCAACTCCCAACACCCACATGGTGGCACACAACGGTCTGTAACTTCATTTTCAGGGTTTCTGTTGTTCTGTTCTGACCTCCACAGGCACCAAACACACTTGTGCTCAGATGCATATATACAAGGAAAACATAAACTAAGTGATAGAAGGAAGGCTTAGGTTCAGAGACTCTCAAATGAGTAGTCAGCCCTCTGGGGATTCCCTTATGTGAGAATTTTGCTAGAAAATACTAGAGGGAAATCCCACGTGCATTGACAGTCTAGAGGAGGCCTGACCCCTGAGGGTGCTCTTCAAAAGCCAGACCTGATGGGCGACGAAGAGCCCTGAACCACAAAAAATGAAAGACTCTGAAGAAGAAACATGAAGTTAGCAAACAAAAGGAGAGAGACCCTTGACAATAGAGAGGACATATAGTCCTGGGCAAAGCAACATTTACATAGCACTCTAGTAGTGGTTTTTGTTTTTAGTCAAAGGTAGCTTTTAAAAGGGCAGGGGAAGGGGAGGTAAATACTGATACAATAGGAAATAAACAGATGTGGGGGCTGAAAGTCCCAGAGGACTCTGGGAAATGGGAAGAAACTGTTAAAGCTATGTCTTGGGTACATTTAGTTTGTAAGCAGCACAGGTGAACCTGGTGAACCTGCCCGTCCTTACCCCCCACCAAACACGAGCAGGCTGGTAGATTGGCCATACACTGAACTGAATCTTGGAGTTCAGATGTGTAATTGTCACATCTTGAGACCCTGTGTGTCATGGCCTTCCTGCAGCCTGCTTTCCTATTGGGTTGGGAGAAACAAGGTTACCCCTGGGGACTTTGTGGCTTGGAGACAGGGAAAGGACCAATATGATGGGCTTGTTAGTGGGGTTTGGGTTGGAAGGAGGAGCTCATGGGGGTTGTCACATGGTCTGTCATGTTACATGGTTATGGCTCTGGGGTTGAGCCCAGCCTCTGCATCCTTATGCTGACTGCCAGTGTCCCAACCCATATGTGCTGTTGGGGACTGAGTCTGAAAGCACTTCCTAAGCCTACAGTGCCCAACTTACTGAGTCACTGATGTCACAGGCAGGGGAGGCCTCTGGCTTGACAGCTTGATTCCTCCTTCTTTCCAGGCATTGAGGTTGATATTGATGTGGAACATGGAGGGAAGAGAAGCCGCCTGACACCCACCTCCCCAGAAAGTTCCAACATGGACACAGAAGACAAGTGCAGCACTCAAGACAAGTGCAGCACTCAGCCAAGCAGCTGCTCTTCAGAAGTCAACAAACCTGACGAGGCAGGCGAGGGCACTTCACAGGCTCTGACAGAGCAAATGAAAAAGATCGTCTTGGAGTCAGTGGGACAGCCAGAGGTAGGTCTGCTTTCTCCCACTGGTTGGCCTGCTTGGCATCTTGGCTTTGGCCCCAGCAATTTTTCAGTCAGAGGGCTTCTGTCCTTCCTGTTGTCTCTGTGGTGTCTTCAGTTACTCCGAGCCTTCCAAATAGAACTCTGTAGAGAAAGACTTTCTTGGATCTAGAGCCATAACTCAGTATGAGGCATTTACCTGACATATATGAGGTCCTAGGTTCAACCCTAGCATCATGGGGGTGGGGGGGGGAAGACATGTCTTTTGCAGACAGCTCTGTTTGCCATGTTTGCTGGGAGCAGATAGTGGGGTCCCACTGGTCAGTCACTTAGGCCCCTGTGCTCACAGCAGGCTGTGTTCTAGGAACAGATGGAGTCTGATAACTGCTCAGGAGGAGATGACGACTGGACACATTTGTCTTCCAAAGAAGTGGACCCATCCACAGGTGAACTCCAGTCTCTACAGATGCCAGAATCAGAAGGGCCAAGTTCTCTAGACCCTTCACAGGAAGGACCCACAGGGCTGAAGGAAGCGGCCTTGTACCCACATCTCCCACCAGGCATGTGCTCACCAGAAAGTTCATTTTCCTTTGCTTTCAGAGTATCCTAGTCATGTCTGGTTTTGGCAACACAAAAAGGGATATCATGGCCTGGGATTTTTTTTTTTAAAGGCAGTACCTAGTTGTGTAGTCCAGGGTAGCTTTGGGATTGTAGGCTTGTCAGCTGACATCAGAGAAAACTAGAAGATGGTCTGACCTCTTCTGTCTGCATCGAGCAACACTAACCTCATCTCATTCTAAGAATTTCTAAATCTCAATACCCAGATGTTCTGAGAAGGCAGATGTTACAGGAAAGGCAACACTGGCTTTGGGCTGCCTTGTATCATGAACTGAACTCAAACCCTACACACCATTTCCTCAGGGGGTTTCAAATTTTAATGGCAAGCACCAAAGCCAAGCCCCAAGTAGAAGCCAGGCAGAGTATGTAAAATGCTGGACAAGAGTGGCTAGTCCCAAGTGTGCAGCCTGCAAAAGAGACAGCCTGCTCCCATGTTCCCAGAGTAATGGTATTCAGGTGAACAACTTTTCTCTGGGCCAGATTTAGCCTTGGGGCTTCCAAGGTCAGTTTCTGTGCACAAGAGCAGAGGGGCAGCAAACCGGTGCATGAGAGTCTGGAAAGGGGCTTTATCATGAGTTCAAGGCTACACAGAGTATCCTGGCTACACAGTGAGACCTACCTCTGCATCTCCATGGCAGACTGCGTATCTCATACTTGCAAGGCTCTGGGCAGGGAACTGGAGAACTGGCTCATCCAATACAGTGCCTGCTGTGCAGGTGTGGCAACTGTGTCTGTAGTCCCAGCATGTAGAAGGCAGACAGAATCCCTTCACAAGCTAACTAGCTAGACAAGCTGGAATTCGCAAGCTGTGAGTTCACATGGACAGCAACAGAGGACGACTCCTACTTCAGCTCTGGGCTGCCACATCTTCACACATACATGTATACCTATACAGGAATAGAAGTACACACGATACATTTGCTAAACAACAGTCAGAGGCTGATAGAGGAGATTCACATGTCATTATCTATAAAGGGTTTTTATTTGGATTGGTTTTGAGATGGTGTCCCACTGTTGCCCAGGATGTCCCTGAATGATCTTCCTGCCTCCACCTCTTGAGTGTTAGGACTACAGGCTTGAGCCACCATGTCTGGCAACAAAACTTAATTGGGAAATAACTGCACTCTCTTGTTTACAAACCTTCTGGCTATTTATGCTACAGTGGCAGAGTTGAACAGTTGTGACAGAGACTGGAAAGCCTACAAAACAAGGGCTGTTTGGTCCTTTAGCTGGCCTCTGAGGGTTCCTGTGAGGCCTAAACAGGGCAGCCTTCCTGGCAGGCAGGACTTGAAATGTTTGGAGTGCTGCAGGGTACCTGACTTTCCTGTCTGTTTTGGCAGAGGCTGATCCCCGGCTGATCGAATCACTCTCTCAGATGCTGTCCATGGGCTTCTCTGATGAAGGTGGCTGGCTCACAAGGCTCCTACAGACCAAGAATTACGACATTGGAGCTGCACTGGACACAATCCAGTATTCAAAGCACCCTCCGCCATTGTGACAGTGCTTGTGCCCAAGCCCTGTGACCCGCCCCCTTTGACCTGTAGTTGCATCAAATAGAGCAGCAGGGCCTCTGTAAGGCCAGTTTCTTGGCATTCTTCCAGAATCTGCAGGTGGGAGTGTGTGAAGCCTTTAAGGGCAGTGGGGAAGTGATATGAGGAGAGAGTTCCAAGAGTGACATGCTGACTGACGCCTGAGAACAGAACCAGGTACTTGTGGCTGAGCTTCCTCTGCCTTCCCTAAGCCTGGCCTTTGCCAGGGAGTTGCAGAGGTACACTGCACTTGCTCTTACCGCCAGCATTGCACCAGCAGTCCAGAACCCTTGCCTGCTGTGTTCTCTTCGTTAAAAGTGATTAATACGCTGACAGTTATTTCAACAAATAAAACCGTTATGTTAAGAGGGGGCTGTCCACAGTAAGTCAAAGGTGGCCAGCAATTGGGGCCTACAGCTCCTGGGGGATGGAGAACTTGTAAAACCAGCTGAAGGGTCTCACCATATACTGCCTCCCTTTTTAATGATTCACACTTTAGTTTTGTTCCAATGTTAATGCTTTTAAACGAAACCCCGACATAGCTTCCTCTGACTTGATTTTTAAATGCCCTGTAATTAAATGGCATATGCACTTTAATCAACCCTGTGGTCCTTATTATTGTTGAACAAGAGAAAACTGTGACAGGCATGTTTATTGTGGGTTATTTGTTCTAAAGCACCCCCACCTCTGGCATGGAGGACATTATTACACATGAGTGAATGCTACAGGTGAAGTGAAGGCTACAGGTCATCCTCAAAGTCCTCCCCAGTTGTAAAGAGGTTGTGCAGTTGCATCGTTGGGGCCTTTTGCGCCCCTTGAGCCAACGGCCTACCATCTGCTTGAGGAGTCTCCACAGCCCATGGATGCTCTGGGGTCTTCCTGCCAGGCCTCTCTGGCTGGGGTGTGGTAGTGTGAGTGGTTTGAGGATGCTGGACAGTGTCCGGGGCCCTGCTGAAGTGGCCTTCCCCTGGAGTCTTAGCCTCAAGGGTCTCTTGCTCAGCTTGTGCTGGGTCAGCTAGCTGGGTGCTGTTCCCAGGTGACAGGAGAAACCGTGCCCATTTAGAAGATTGGGCCTTAACTTGCAGGACAGGACTTGGTAGTTTCCACCTAGGAAAACCAAGCTCCCTGATGTGCGTTGAAGCCCCGAGGGCAGAGCTGCCACCTTGTCGCTCTGTCCCTAACAGGCCAGCGGAGTCCTGAAAAAAAAAAACAAAAACAGAGAAAGGGTTCTAGAACGTTCAGCTTAGCAGGACCATCAGCACCAACCCTTCTCCTTTCTGCATAATTGTTGGACAAGCCCTGCAGGCTAGGGACATGCTGTTACTGTGATGTTTAACAAGTCAAAGTTTCTAAATGCCCCCACATTACTCTGACTTGATAAATCCCATGACCACATTTCTCCCATAAAGGAGACATCCTGAGTCACCCATCTCCTGGAACACTTTGGAACAGGTCAGCAGTCCCCAAGAGGGAGGAGGTGTGGCAGGGAGGGGCCTAGACACCACCACCTAGAAAGATGCAGTTCATCAAGCCTGTTCCATCCCAGCTGAGCTGGAACAACTCTTCAAAGCTGGGAATCCAGGTAGCTGTACCCAGACCTCTGGGAGGTGATAAGGTGCTGAGCCTGGCTTCTTTCAGTTCAGAAACCAAAGATGCACAAGAAACTGGCTTTCACTGTTTACATAGGAATTTGACAGCAACACTGCATCTTTGCTTCCTGACTGCTCAGATAATGCTAAAGAGACCTTGACTGCTGACCTTGGCTTTACTACTGATCTTGCTGTGAACTCACTGAGGTTTCAAAAGTCTTAGTTCCTACAACAGACTAGGGAAAGTGAACACTTAGTGTTTTGTCTATGGTGTGGTCCATGGTAACGTCTGTAATTCACTACCATGATTCTGGATCAATGGGGCTCATATCTTCTGGGGTCACTTAGGTAGTTCAAGAAAACATCACAAATTGAATTCTGGGTTAGGTTGTGGCAGCGCACACCTTTAATTTGGGTAGATGGATCTCTGTGAGTTCAAGGCCAGCCCGGTTTACAGGCCAAGTTCCAGGACAGCCAGGGCTACCCAGAGAAAATCTGTCTGTTAGCTTTGTGCTGTGCTGCTTGTGCAGTCTGAGGCTGAGCTGAGCAGGTCTTAGCTAATCACTTAGGGGCAGAGGAGGTGAAAGGAAAAGAATCATCATTCCTAGGGCTTCTATAGCAGTACAAAACAAATCTGCATTCACTCATGCTGCATGTGCAGTGGGGCCTGACAGGTGTGAGCGCCACCAACACACTCTAAAGTGAGCAGTGTATTGGCACAGGCATTCCTGGATGGAAACCTAGGGGCAACTTCTACTGTGCCCAACCAGGTGAACAAAGCTCCACTTAGCAGGATGAAAACAGTCTTGCCTCAAACCTTACTGGCCAATCCTAACTGGGTATCATGATGTCCTCTTGGTTGTGAGCTAACCACATGAGATGACCACGATGATGTCTTACTGTAAATCAGAAAGGTTTGAATTCATGTTCTTCCTGCCTCAGCCTCCTAAGTGATGGGATTACGGCTGTGTACCACCTGGCTCAGGAGTTGGCCTTTTGGGGGCAAGGGGGAGGAGACAGGGTCTACCACGGATCCTGAAACTTTCCATGTAAACTAGGATGGCTTTGAACTCTGTCTCCAGAGTGTTGAGATTAAAGGTTGCCACCAGGTCTAGCCTCAGACATAGCTTTAAGCAGAAAAGACAAGGATCTCATGCTGGAAGCTGGACTTTTTAGTATATAAATCTTAACTGTGAAGAAATATTATCCAAGCCTTGTACCTACAATCTCAGCTGCTCACAAAGGGAAGACTTTGAGGCCAAGCTAGGCAATGTGGCAAGGCCATGTAGAACAAAACCAAATTCCTTTGGGCTGGAGTGTAGCTTAGCAGTAATACTTATGGCTGTCACACACGAGGCCCTGACCTAAAGCCCTAACATAGCACATGTGTCCACATGTGTGTGCAGGCATGCACACAATCATATGTAGGCTCCATGGTCACTGACCTGGCATTTAAAGTTGTCCTTAACACTGTCCAAGTCCTGAATATGCACACTTCGTGGAGGCTGCCCTGTGCTCTGATTCCATTTCCTGGAGGGAAGGACGTGCTATCAGTCATTACGTTCTCTCATCCAATGGTCCTCACAGGCAACAATTGATATCTCCTGGCCTGACATAGGGAGGAATCTTTTCATCCTTTACAGGTTCCTACACCACCTCCAGGAAACAGCCTCTTCTCTGGTTTGTAGTTGTTAGAATATTCTTAATTGAAATTGTAATTTATGCCCTTTGAGAGCCATATAATATTCTGAACATAAGGAGTTTCTTTGGAAACCCACTGAGACACACAGATATCTGGTGAACCTCATGTAAAATACCCACCCCCAGACCTACTGATTACTTTGGCCATGCTTCCACAGCTGGCCTTGAACTCATGGCTCTCCTGTTTAAGCTACCTTAGGACTGGAGTTATAGGCATCTAGGGCAGCCTAGCTAGTCTCCTGCTCCTTCTGCCAGGCAGCATGCAGTCTGAAGGTTAGAAGCAATGGCTCCTGCCCACTTTGCCCACCCACTGAAGTACAACATGGGAGTCCCACTTAGTGACTTCTAGGAGCTGCTCACCCCACCCCCACCTCCACCTCCCGCCAGGAGTCAGTGTGGGCATGGGGATGGCTAGATGAGACCCGCTTGGCACCTCTTCCTGGGTCGGGCCGGACTGCAGGGCAGACCTGGCCACTCAGCACTGGCTGAGGGCTGTGTCTTAAGAGCTGCTCTTTCTCTGTCCAGCTCCTGGTCCTCACAGTCCTTGTCCAGATACTTCAGCCAACGGGACTCCAGGGGCTCAGACAGGGCCTAAGTGTTAGAACAAAGGATGAGGTTCAGAGCTTGAGAGCAGCCCACCCAAGTCCAGCCCATGACCCTTGGGCCAAAGTTCTTAGGATCCATGTTTCTTCCTCACCACTAGGAAGAACTTTTAGTAGAGCACAATGGAGACGGAGACTCCAGAGCAAGGCTCTCAACCTTCTAACGCTGCAACCCTTTAATACAGTTCCTTATGTGGTGATTCCCCAACCATAAAATTGTTTCGTTGCTACTTCCTAACTGTAATTTTGCTAATTATGAGTCAAAATATAAATACCTGATTGACTTGCAAGCCCAAAGGGGTCTAGATCCACAGGTTAAGAACTGCTGCTCTAGAAGGATGTATGTGTACACAGGCCCAGCAGGGTATAACTTATCATAAACTTTCCCAAAGCCAACACTCCCCAACCCAGTGACCTTCATAATAAACAAAAGCTTGATGATAAGGGAGTTGCCAATAGCAAATACTTACGAGAACAGGAGTAAACAAATTGGTATACCATGACACTCTAGAATTTTCAAACATGAAAATCCCTGAAGACCATACAACACCAAAGAGCTAAGTGCTGGTGTTCAAACCCAGGACCACACCAATGCCAGGCAAGTGGAAAAGCTACATCCCCAACCCCCAGCCCCAGGTAGGGCATACAGTGAGAATGGCATGAAATAATCTTTGTAATGGTACCAAACAGATAGTGTACACATTAACACGTGCACACACACACACACACACACACACACACACACACACACACACCTAACACATCAGAAGGGCTGTGTAAGTGTGCTTATGAGCACATCTTTTGTTTGAAAACCAAATGGAGAGAGGAGATGACCAGTGTGAGCCATGAGCAGAGCAGGGTCATAGTTGCAGCTGGGTAGCAGGAGTTTCCACACACCACACTACCAACTACAGTGTTCCCTATGACCATATAACATGGTGTCAGTTAAGAACCAGGTCACTGTCCACCAAACACTGGCCAAGTACCCATTTTATAAGCCTTCCTTCAAGCTTCAGTGGCTGAGAATACTGGATACCTACCATTCCTGCTCTTGAGGCATGCCCAGTCTGCAGTGAGGGAACATGAAGCTCTGGCATTTCATAGCACCCCTGCCCTAGTAGAGGTATGCCTCCCAATAGAGGGGAGAAGAGGGCAGACGCAGCAGAGTAAAACCAGTGAAGTTCAGGGAGCTCTCTAAGCAGACAAGACAGGTAATGACTTATACACCATTGCAGGACAGGTTCTTGCACCCCTTGTGTTTCCTGCAGCTTCACGCCAGTGTCTTCCAATTGGATGCATCAGTAAGTACTTGTCGCACAAATGACTGTCGCTGTTTTGGGTATTGAATCCCTAGCCTTGAGCATGTGAGGCAAACAAACAACTAATGAATACTGTTAACACTTAGACTTTCCAGCTAAGCTTCTGTACAAGATCCCTACACACTATACTACAATGCAAAACTGTGTCACCTGTGCTAAAAAGTCTCCATCACTAACTTGGAACTGAATTACTGGAGAGAGAAAGAGGCCCGATGTCCCAAACAGGCTGATATCAATGGGCACGATACAGCAACTCTCTCTGAACTGATGCTTACCCCCCAAAGCAGGCTGAACCGAGCCTATTAGTCACTTTCCTGCAGTTCAGTCTCCCTGTCCACCTTACAAGGAAGTCATCTGAAGATGTCAGCTTACTTTCTGTTCAGCCTTTCTTTCTTTCATTAATGTCTAGCAAGCGCCTGCTCAGCTCACTGAACACTCGTTCTGTTTTATGGTCTGAATTACGGTCTGGTTCTACACCAGCAAATAAAGCTTACCAAGATCTTTAAAGGTCTTCCAATTTTGTTCCTTGGCAATACTTGAGTGGAACCCATGAAGAGCAGCTCAGGGACACTGGGGGACAGATGCCATTAGCTTACCTGCTGACTCCCGTTCTCAGCCTGCTGAGGGCCTGCATTTTCCTCTTCATTTGCAGCTCTGTCCACAGACCTTAGGAGAAGATGACAAATATGACCCTGGGAAGCCATCAGGAAGATGCAGGATAGGGAAAGTGGAAGCAAGTGGGCACTAGGACCTGGCAAAGCCAGGATTGTCCTGGGGCTTCACAGGCATACCCTTGCTGCCCTCATGTGAGGCAGTCACTTCTTAGGAGTTTAGGAGGTCTGAGGAGAGTGGTTGCCTCCTGTAACTGAGGGGCTAGATAACCAGGTAAAACATCTAAGTACAGTACTGGAGGTTAGACCAACCATGCCCACCAGCCTCAGATAGTGCCTGCATTGTCTCTAGTGAGCCCCAAATTCTAGTGTAACTGGGTACCCCAACTGCTCACCTCCCCAGCCTAAAGAAGCCAGTAATTCTCATGGCCATAAGGATGAAATGATATTCTATGGAGAAAATACTTCCCTACTATGGGATCCACCCAAGAGTTTGGGCTGGCTAGATGGCTCAGTGGGTGTGGTGGCTTGAATGAAAATGGCCCCCACAGGCTCATAGCAGGTGAGTCACTGGGTGTGGGCTTGAGGTTTCAGATGCTCAAGCCAGGTTTAGTGTTACTCTCTCTTCCTGCTGCCTCCTTTGAATCTGGATGTAGAATTCTCAGCTACTGCTCTAGCACCATGTCTGCCTGCATGCTGCCATGCTTCCTGCCCTGAAGACAGTGAACTAAACCTCTGAACTATAAGCCAGCCTCAATTAAACATTTTCCTCTATAAGAGTTGCCATGGACTAGAAGGTGTTGGCACATGCATTTAATCCCAGCACTCAGGAGGCAAAGGCAAGTGGATCTCTGTGCGTTAGAGGCCATCATGGACTACATAGAAAGTTCCAGGGCAGCCAGAGCTACATAGAGAAACCCTGTCTTGGGCGGGGCGGGGGGGGGGGGGGGAGTAGCCATGGTCACGGTGTTTCTTTATAACAATAGAAACCCTAACTAAGGGAGAGAAAAAGGTGTGTGTGACCTAATTTGATGACCTGAGTTTGACTCTGGGACACAAGTGGAAGGAGAGAACTGACTTCAACAGTTTGTCCTTGGACCTTCACTTTGCTTTTGTTTGTTTGAGACAGAGTTCTCTAGCCCTGGCTGTCCTAGAACTCACTCTGTAGACCAGGCTGGTCTCTAAATCTCAGAGATCCACCTGCCCCTGCCTCCAGAGTTCTGGGATTAAAGGTGTGCACCACCCCTCCCAGCTAGTAGTTGTTATGTTTTTTAAAGGCAGGATCTCATTATGTACCCCTGGCTGGTCTGGAATTCTCCTGACAAAGCTGACCTGAAACCAACAGAGATCAACCTTAGGCAAATTTTTAAAAGAAACTTCACATACACATAAATAAGTGTAATAAAAACCCTCTACTTCTATTGGAGAGATGGTCCAATGGTGAAGAGGGCATTGTTGCTCTTGCAAAGGTCTTGGGTTCAGTTCCCAGCACCCACATGCTATCTCACAACCATCAGTGACTCCAGTTCCAGGGGATCTGCTGCCTTCTGAGCTCCACAGCTGCTAGGCACACCCCTAGTGTACATATATACAAACAGGCAAAATAGTCAAAATAAATCTAAAACAAAATTTAGCCCTTCCCTTTTTTTAGCTTTTAAAATTAACTTATTGGGATATAATATTCATATTTAATAAACCTAGGTGAGTTTTTATTGCCCTGTGGTTCTTTTTTCTCAAGACAGGGTTTCTCTGTACCTTTGGAGCCTGTCCTGGAACTCGATCTGTAGAACCAGGCTGTCTATGAACTCACAAAGATCTGCCTGTCTCTGCATCCCAAGTGCTGTAGTGTAATATTTAAACTCAGGGAGAAGCTGGCTCTGGAGGTCATGTTTAACTCAATGTCCTCTGGGTCTGGAGATGGCTCAGTGGATTAAGAGCACGTCTCTCTTCCAGGAGACCTGAGTTCAGTTCCTGCACCCTCATTGGATGGCACTGTCAGCAAGGGTCTGACACCAGGCACCTCTTCAGACAGACCCTCCTCAGCTGGTTTCTACTGGATGTTTGTAAGCCCCTGATTTAGTGATGTCCCCTTGTTATCAGTTATTTTACTTGGAAGGAAGCCTTACGTAAGCCTTACGTAAGGCTTCCTTTAATCTGCCTGGGACTATCTTAATTGGAAACACAGCTAAATCCATTAAAGGAGATTCCATAGTCAACTTCTACTATGGTTTTAAAAGCTAGCCATTTGCCTACTGATGTAACTAACAAAAGACTGTGCGTGTTGAGAACAGGGAAGTCTAGGGTTTTATGTCATAACTAAAACTACACATTTTCTGTCCTTTGCTTTGTCTTTTCTATAACTGGTAAGGTTACCACAAGGAAGATGGAGAAATATCAAGTCTGTCGCGTGTCCTGTCCCGTCCCATTCCCCCACCACTATCTCCACCCGGATTCCCAGTTGTGATAAACTTAGTTTCTTTTATTAACTTTCTGGTCTCTTAGTGTTACTTTTAGGATATGGTAGGAGTGAACCTGAGAACCTAGCCATGGCCCCAGCTCGTCTGGCCACAGAAGTAGTTTGATGTATGTTTTTGTTGACTTGAGGTCCTTTGCATTTCTATGTAAATTTTAGGGTCAATTTCAGAAAAACAACAGCCCACAGTTTTTTCAGTGTTGGGAATGAAGAAAGCCTCCTACATAGTAGGCAAGTGCTCTACCACTGAACTACACCCCCAGAGCTCATGCTGTAATTCTTTGTTTTTCATTTTAAATTTTTTGCTGGGTGGTAGTAGTAGTGGCACATATGCCATCAGGTGAATCTCTGTGAGTTTAAGAGCAAGTTCCAGGACAACTAGGGCTGCACAGAGAAACCCTGTCTCAGAAAACCAAGATAAATGAATAAAGAAATAAATGGGAAAACAAACAAAGCAAAAAAACCAAGAACATGCAATATTCCAGGACAGGCTCCGATGCAATACAGAGAAACCCTGTCTCGAAAAACCAAAAAAGAAAAAAGAAAAACAAACAAACAAACAAAAAACAAAGAAACAAATGGGATTTTTACATTTATCTATCTGCATATGTGCACACCTGCCAGCCATGAAAAAGATATGGGTAATCCTGGACAACTTTCAGGGGTTACATTTTTTCTTCTACTACATGGGTCCCCGGGACCAAATCTTAGGTTGTTGGGTGCCTTTACCCACTAAGCCACCTCACTAGCCCTGGTACTTGATTTTAAAATTCATTTTTCCATTGGGCAGTGGTGGCACATGCCTTTAATCCCAGCTCTGGGGAGGCAAAGGCAGGTGGATCTCTGTGAGTTTGAGGCCAGCCTGGTCTACAAAGCAAGTTCCAGGACAACCAAGGAACACAGAGAAACCCTGTCTCAAACCCTAGCCCCCTACCCCTGCCAAAATAATTTTTTCCAAGTGTTCACTGAATTCACATAGAAAACAATTCCACTTTGTCTGCTGACCATGGTTTGTGTGATACTGTTGAACTAGCTGGGTTTGGTAGTCATGTAGGATTTCCCACAGACAGAATCATGTTGTTTGTAGACAGAACAGCAAGGGTTTACTGTGTTGCCTAAGATATTAATTCTGAGTTTGTAAAATGCTCTGTTCTTATCATTTCACATATTGCCCACCCCACCTCCCACCCCCGTACTCAGGACTGAATTTACAGCCTCTTCCATGTTACACATGGCCACTGAGTTATGAACCCTGCCCCACTAATTTTCTTTGGCTGAATTTAATCTCTTATAGCACTATGATCTATTTACTTTGCTCCTCGTCTCATATTCCTGGGGCAAGATTAAAATGTAGAGGCAAGCTGGGCAGTGGTGGCACATGCGCCTTTAATCCCAGCACTCGGGAGGCTGAGGCAGTTTGAGGTCAGCCTGGTCTACAGACTGAGTTTCAGAACTGGCTCCATAGCTACTGAGAAACCCTGTCTCAAAACAAACAAACAAACAAACAAACAAAAAAGAAATATAGAGGCAAAAAGCTAAAAAGGAAGTAAAATTCCCACACTTCAACAGTCAGGTCCCAGTCTGACTCCTAGTGACCTATGCTGTTCAATGAAGACATCTGGGGACTAAACTCCTGAATGGTACCAGAGAAAAGAGGACCATATGCTCTGCTCCACATGGGTTTGGCTGCTCTCTTCTTCTGGCAATCGCCTCACACCCTCTCCTCCCTCCCTTCTTCTCTCTGGCATTTACCATTCTTGTTCTCCAGAGTGGGAGTGAGGCCCTGTAAGTCCCCCCTGGTCAGTCCTACAGGCTTTTTTAATTGACAGACATACAGGTGAGCAGGCTTTCATTTCTTCATGACAGATCTGTAGCCAAGTTTTAGGTATCCCTGTGAGGTCGGTTGAGACTTACCAACCAGACACTCTGACTCCAAGATAGTGGGTAGCTACAAAGTGAGACCCAGTTTCGTTTTCCTGAGTGTGTAGGGGTGCTCTGTAGCATGCCCCAGATTAGGGTACAGGACTCTATAGGGATGAAGTGTGGAAGGATCCATGATGTCTCACATTCTCCACTCCCTCTAGCATTACTGGGACCTATACTCTGTAGGCCGCTTTCTCTACTGTGGGACCCTTGTTTTCCTCTGCTCTGGCATGGGGGCTCTCCTGGCTCTACCTTCCCTTTCTGCTGGTGCCTATAACCTCTGCTACCCAATTCCTGGTATAGTGGCAGGGTCTTGAGAACTGCCAGATTCTCTCTTGCTTTTGTAGAAGCCTCTCATGAAAACCCTGGTTGCTATATGTTCAGGAAATAAGCAGGTAAGATAGAAACCCTTCTGGAAAGAGACAAGTACCCCAAATAGTCATATCCATCCAGACACCCAATAAATACCCTGTCTTTTCCCTTATGGGGACTGCCATGGCCAAGCTCCCCCTCTCTGTTAGGGTTGTCTTAATTCTGGTTACAAAGGGTACAAGGCTGGTGAGCTGACTCAGGAGGTAAAGGTACCTGCTGCCAAGCCTGACAACTTGAGTTTGATCTCCTGCAAGTTGTCCTGTGACCTCCACACATGCTTACCGTGG